ATAATCATTATTAATAAATTATTATATATTTTATATAGATTAATTTTATTCTATATATACTATATATTTGGCCAAACCGGCCAAATAATTTTATTGCCCATTTTGGCGGCCATTGGCCAGCCAAAAAACAAAGTGACAACACTGATCAACATGATAGATTAATACTATTTATATTTTTGTAGTTTAGATTAAAAACATGAAAAGCAACAAAATATAAACTGATAAACGTTATATACTTGCAATAAAACAGTAAAAATTTATTTGAGCATATTTTACAATAAAATAAATTGAAAGTTTATTTAGCATATTTACAACAAATAAGAATTTGAATTATTATTTTGATTATGAATTTTATCTTACTAGTAATTTTATAAGTTCTCAATTCTCTTTGACAATGATTAAGTTAATATTTGCATCGGATAGAATAGTATTTTCCAATTTTTTCATCAATTAGATTTATTGGTTGAAAAAGATGAACAATTGCTAATAGCACTCAAATTATTATTCAGTATATTGGGCTTCAGAATTAATGATTCAACGTTCGACTTCAGATAAAATAAGTGATTTATTTATTTCAAAAGAAGCGATGTATCAATTTTATTTTTTTAAAGTACGTACTTATTTACATAATTGCTTACCAGTGAATATTTATCAAAAAAGCCAATTTTATCACCAGCCAACTTTCTAATTCGGAATTTTTTTAAAAAATAAGATCTTTTAAACTCCCACTTATTTTTGAAAAAAGTTAATTCTGAAAATTCTATAGAAATAAATAATTATTTTGATCTAATTATAATATAGTAGTTTGACTTTTATATAATTTGATTATAGTGATAGTTTAATTTTAATCAATCTTTTTAACTACAGTTATATCTTTTTTATTTTACCAATTTTAACTACGATATATGTTAAATCAGTTTTATCGCGTGATAAAACCCAAGACATAGTGTTGTTAAAATGTTTAGTTAGCATCACTATTGGCTATATATAAGACTGGTAGGATTGGTAATATTTGATTATCATTTTTTTTTTGAGAGCATATATTATATAAGCTGTTAAAAATTGTAAAAGATACTCTGAATGAACCTGTATGTTTCTTCATAGTACAATAATAGTTTATCCCAAAATGAGAGATATAACAACAAAATGTTCAAATAAAATAGATATATTTGTTAAAATATGAGTGCCACCAAGCAAAAACTAGCAATTTCGATTTTTGCCAGCTCTGCTTTATGATCTGATTTCTGATAAATTTAAATTAAGTACAACATATATTATATGGTGTGTTAAATCACATTTTTCAGAGTTTGATCTGTAAAATTAATTTCAGAAAACTCACAATTCCTGTTTTACTTGACAGTACTTATATAGTATAAATAATTTTTAAATTATTATTTGATTGGTCGATAAAATACAATTTGATTGGCTGGTTATTTAAACTGAATTTCTAAAAAGTATATACTGTATGTACATATACAAAGAATATAACTTTTTTAAAAAATAGACAAATTTATCTGTTGCAACAAGATATAGTATTCTGATTCTAGCTAATATCTGAAATATTCTAAAAAATACAAAATTCTGTTATAATGACTATCTCGAACTCTGTCAGTTATAATATATATTTTCTAATATTACAAGGTAAATATTTGATAACTATTAGCCTATTGAAGACAAAAATTGGACAATACTATTCTGTCTAATGCAAATATTGACCTAATCATTGTCAAAGAGGATTGATAACTTATAAAATTACTGGTAAGATAAAATTCATAATCAAAATAATAATTCAAATCCTTATTCATTGTAAATATGCTAAATAAACTTTCAATTTTTTATTTCATTGTAAAATATGCTCAAATAAATTTTTACTGTTTTATCACAAGTATATAACATTTATCAGTTTATATTTTGATGCTTTTTACATTTTTAATCTAAACCACAAAAATATAAATAGTATTAACCTATCACGTAGATAGTTTATATTTTTATCAAGTTTTATCATGAGTATAGTCAGCATTATTAATAGCCAAGCAACATTCAAACCCAACTCCGATTGTTTAAATTCATTTTTCATAGCCGCAATAGTATCTCCAATTCTTGAATTATATGCTAGTAAACTTTTTTTTTTTTTTTTTAATTGCATACTCTGCAAATCGCTTCATCACTATAATAGCTGATCTTGAATAGACAAAATAACACATAATTCTCTGTCTTGGGCCTTATACTTAGATACTTCACCACTCTTCTAACTGGGCAATATTCACTGTCTGACTATCCAATCGGAACAAATTTACCTTAAGTTAATTGGTCTAAATTCGACCTATTTAACCTTCTACATAACAACCTATTCTTTATTTTTACATTCTTCCTTTTCCTCTTCTTACAAATTAGCTTTGATATCTCATTGTTCTCAAGCCTACTAGCACAAAATCTCGACCTTTAAGGGGCCTACTCTATACATATAACCGAAATTCTTAAGTTCTGAATTTAGTTTTAGTTTTAGATTTCATTAAGTTTCGGCTTGGGATGATCATTTCCAAAATTAAAGCTTTAATTGAAAAACTAACTAAAGACGAATTTAATTGAAGCCATTATATAAAAGTCAAAATTTTATTTGAAGCTTTACATGATTGTTGAAATTCTTAAAAAGGATAACAATGAATAAATTAATAATATTAAAATAGTGATAGCAATAGTATTTCTTATAATTGGTTCTTTTTTTTTAAAAAAATATCATCAAAAAATAAAAAAAATATTAATTAAAAGAAAAGCAGGTGGACATCCTCCTGGTGAGATATAAACTTGGTTTAAAAGAAAAATGAAGTAGCTAAAGGATATTACTTCGCAACATGCTCTTTTTGTGATGACCACTAGGTTATTGCTAAATCAAATAAACTTAAAGCACATTTTGTATATGAATGCAAATAAGTTGATTCAGATATTAGAATTAAAGTTTTAATATCATTAACAAATAATTGTGTTGATTTAGATAATGATATGGCCTCAACATCAACTACAAAAACAAATAAAAAACATAGATTAGAAAGTAGTATTAATATAGATAATATA